GTAAAATGTTACTATTTTACTAAGAATCCAACACGGGTCTTCGACTCCTGCAAATTTAGCTATAAAATGTTACTCATATTATGTTAAGTTCTTACTATAGCTTTAAAATTAATTTTCTAATTTATTTATATTATTTAAAAAAATCTCTTAATAATATGATAAACTTGACTTATTTAATTCATACCTGATGAAGTTTTGTGAATATTATTTTAACAATGGGCAACACAAGTAAAAGTTTTGTTGAATATTGTTGGAATATGCAAAACATTCCTTACAACAACATTTATATTATAATCACATGTGGTCAGTTTAAAAAATGGAGGAATATGACTTTAACAGAGTGTTGTAACTGACAGTCACGTTTTTGAGGTAAAACGTTACTATGAGTAACGTTTTACAGCTAAATTTGCAGGATTCAATTCTAAATTTGCAGGAGTCGAAGGCCCGTGATTGGATTCTTTAGAAACGTTACTATGAGTAACATTTTAAATTTGCAGGATTTCTTTCTAAATTTACAGGATTGGATGTGATTGGATTCTCAATAAACGTTATTGTGAGTAACGTTTTACATTTAAAACGTTACTCACAGTAACGTTTATTCATTTAACGTCGTTAGCTCCGTCAGTTTTTGTCTGTTGAATTTTTAAAATAAAAATATCCTAAAACGTTACCATGAAGTACGTTTATACTACTTTTGTAAAAAATTTAAAAAGCATATTAGTTTGGTGAATTGGTTTTTAAAATAGCTTATTTTGGTCAAAACTTCTTGAAATTCATGCTTTTATTAAAAAACTGATTAATTAATGGGCCCACCAAGAAAAGGTACATTAAGTGGTAGTAATCAATTTAGATAATTAATTTTCCTCTTCACTTTCTATATATCAAGATAATAATTCACCAACGTGATATGCTTTCAATTGAATCCACATTTTCAACTTGAATATAGATATCTACTATGTAATAAGTTATTAATACTGAAATGCCAATAAATATTAAAATTTGAACTCAGAACTATAAAAGTCAAATAGATTCAATAGTAAGAACCTTAAATATTAAACTCAACAAAGCGTTGATCCAGTCAATTCTTGACTAATGTTTATTTATTCATGTTGCAGATGGTACGTTGACGATATACCAATTAGAGTTTACAAAAATTATCAGAGCCAAGGCATTCCCTATCCGAACGCGCAAGCAATGGGGGTTTACTCTAGCCTTTGGAATGCTGATAGTTGGGCAACTAGAGGTGGTCTTGTCAAATGTGACTGGACCAATGCTCCATTTATAGCAAAGTACCGAAATTTCGCCCCACGGGCGTGTGCCTGGAACGGACCAATTAGCATTAGTCAATGTGCAACTCAAACTCCAAATAACTGGTATACTGCTCCTGAGTACAATCAATTGAGTTACGCGAAACAAGGTCAAATGGAATGGGTTAGGAACAATTCCATGATTTATGATTATTGCAAAGATACAAAGCGATTCAACGGACAATTTCCTGGAGAGTGTTTTAAACCTCAATTCTAACAAATGAAATTGAGTCCAATATATAGATACAAATGAGATGTATTGATATACATATATTCTTATTTTTTCTTGATTTTTTTGTTGTAATTTTTTCTGTTCTTTTTTCTTTCCCTTGTTTTGCCAAGAAATTATACCCAATTCTTTTGATAAAATGTTGTTTTGATTGTAATATTTGTTCTTTGGAAAGTTTATTATGTATACCATTTGACCAAGATAAATAATTAAAGGAAGTATTGATGATAATGCAAAATTCAGTATACTGACTTCTTCTAGACTGATTTATGCAAATATTCCTTTTAGATTCTTCACTTAGATTTTGTCTCTATTTTACGAAGTTAGGTAAATATGGCTTTTCATACTTACCAACAAGGATGAGATAATTTTAGATTATATATCATCTAAGGTTTCATTTACAAATTTTTAGACCGTTCATTGAAAATGTCCATTAATTGTAAGAAATATAAAAAAGAGGGGACTATTTGCTAAATAGCTATTTTAAAAAGGGTAAGTAGTGAAAATTTCTTTTGTTTAGTTTGAGGCGAATCTAACATTTAGGCTTAATAGGTTTAAGATCCAAAATTCTTTATAAAGGTTGGTTTTTCAAGGCTTTACAAACACACAAAGAGAATTTATACTCACCAAAAAGGGTTTCAATTATATTCTAAATTCACCCCGCCGCTCCACCTCGATTTTTCCAAAAATCGAATCCTCAAAATGGCTGATCATAAGGAATCTAAAATTTATTTGCTACTATGGAGCGGAGAAAGAAGAATGAGTTGTCGCTTGTAATGGTATTTCAAGGTGATGGAAAAGACAGGGTGGCATCACGGGTGATTGATGACGATTTTAGGACGGACCAGGGGTGGCGTCACGAGTGATTGATGGCGATTTTAGGACGGACCAGGGGTGGCGTCACGGGTGATTGATGGCGATTTTAGGACGGACCAGGGGTGTCGTCATGTGTGATTGATGGCGATTTTAGAACGGACTAGGGGTGGCGTCGATGAAGAGGTCGCCGTCACAGGGGCGGATTTAGGAGGGTCTAGGGTGTTTGTCCAAACTCCCTCTGCAAAAAATTACCTTGTATATCCTGACCAACTCGTAAGTAGCATCCTACTGCTGGTCACGGGGCATCAAAAAACAAGTCTTTTTGGTTTGCCCCGCTGACCTTTTCTAAAAGCACCTTGGGTCGGAGGCTGAATATAAAGTAAAAAAAAGTGGTGCATGCACTTTTGAATTCAATTTGTTTTGATATAAAGAAGAACCTGAATTGGTCCGGGATCGTATCATTTTTCAACTATCCGCTGGTAAATCTGGTTTAGCGCCAGTATAGAAAGGAGTAAATGATGAGTGAAATTTTAGGGTTTGACTATACTTGTAATGCATTTAGGATCATATAGTTCAAAATTAGATCATTTAAATCGTTGACCGCCACACCATATCATTTTTTCCATTTATATATATTTTCATGACTATGAACTAATATTACTACCTCTAAACAAAGGTTCTCTTATCTATCACCACCAAATTAGGTATAGATTAAACACAAAAAAATACAAGTTTCATTCTTTATTATTAAACAGTTGAACGGGTACAACCTCTGAGGTAGAGTAAGATCTACATACACTTTATCATTTTCATATCATATTTTACGAAATTAAGGTCCGCATACATTCTATCATTTTCATATTCTACTTTATGGAATTAAGGTCTGCATACATATTATACTCTATTATTTTCATATTACGAAATTATACTGAATATGTTGTTGTCGTACGACGAACCTAGGCTAGGCCCAAATCCTTAACCAAACTATAACCCATTGTTCCAATGGGCCACAAAGTCAAATTGCAAAGAAAATCATCCACAATTTAGTCATCCACGTGGAACCTTTATCCTCTTTTCTCATTTGCTCTAGTGAAACCGTAACGTAATCACACAGCAAATATATACACACAAAATAATACTCTCTGTTATCCCTAACCCCCCCACCCCCCGAAACTCTTCTCCGCCGACTTTTTTTTTCTTCACCGGAAAATCTTCGAGTTCTTCGCCGGTGTTATTTGCTTCGATTGCAACTCCGTTTTCTTCTTCTTCAATCAAATCTGTGTGTGATTGCTGTTTGCGCCGTCGCCGAATCTTCAAAAGAGTTTTCGGTTTTTTTTCATGATCTGTGAAGAGTCTGATCTGATCTAACCCGTCGATCTGAGATATGGATAGGATCGTTGGAGGTAAATTCAAGCTCGGACGAAAAATCGGTAGTGGATCGTTTGGTGAAATTTTTCTCGGTAAGTGTTATTTGTTAAGGTAGCCAAGTGTACATGTTTTGAGCTTGTATTTTTTTTTTGTTTTACAGAGTTTGTGGTGAGTTTTATGATGATCATGTGTGAATTTTGTAATTTTGCAGCTACGCATATTGATTCATTTGAGATCGTCGCTGTCAAAATTGTGAGTTTTTATTAGCTTGAGCTATGAATTTTGTTGATTTTTTTTTTTTTTTGTGAGTGATTGGTTTTCATGTTGTATGTGCTTTGTGCATCAGAAAATTAACTAGTGAAGTTTATTATAATTGGATCATGCGGTAACTTGGTGCTTGTAGTGTGTGGGGCTTAGTGGTTAATGAGGTTCAAATTCCAGCAGAGACAATGAGCCAAAAACACTAGGTTTATATGCCTCTGAGATAGAAGATATCAATGGTTGGAGTCTTTTGGCTGCATGTGATAACTGATACTGCCTCCGTTTTAATTTGTTAGTCTTACATCCTTTAAATTGTTAGTCTTGCATCCGTTTCAAAAAGATTTTGTTTTTCTCTTTTGGCAACTTTTAATTTCAGTCTTCCACGTGGCTACGTTGCTTTGAAAGGTAACGGATGGAGCATTTTGGGAAAGTGGTGTCAAGAGGAAAACTTAAAATAGTATTGATCAACAATTCTTAACACAAGTTAAAGCCTTGTCTACTTGGTATAGTTAATTTTGTTAATTAGAAGAGGTCTAGGGTTCTATTCTATATAACCACAACCTTTTTAACAATGAATGCAACATGCTAAAATAGTTTTAGAAAATGAACCCAATGGGATTCGAACTTGCGTTGCAAGGAGTAAAAGCTTAGCTTTAAGCACAAGCGCCTTGAGCTCCGTTGTTTCTCTGGGTGCCACACTTAATGCTTTTACTATTCCTTATACATATATATGGGTATACATATATGTACAAAGCTTCAAGCGAGACATCCGTGTGTTGTGGCACCCCCAACCCTTCTACATAGATCCTCCTCGGCACAAGATTAAAGGATATCTTGGTACATTCTACATATCTTTAATTTAAGACCACAAATTCAAAATTCTTCTTTATTTTCTTAATGTCTAGTTAATACCCAACAAACAAATTGAAACGGAGGGAGTTATTAAAGAGTGTGTTTATCATATAACATTAAAAGCGATTCTCTGCGCCTTTCAAATACTTCTCGTTTTGGTTACTGCCTCGAACAAATCGCTAAATTTCCCATATTACAACATGTTTCAATTTAAAAAATAAAATAAAATTAGATATAAGTATGCATTCTTCCTAGTCTAAATCATTTAATTTCTCAGTCGGGCACTCGAATTTCATTGATTGCAATTATATTGTGACCATGTTGAATTATTTTTGCACTTCCTTTACTGTTTCTTCTTTTTCGCCTTTGACTGTCTGTTTGCATTCTTAGTATCTTTTTAATTACTTTTAATATTACGCGGTGTTCACATCTTGGTAGAATCTAACACTACAGGTTCCTTTCTCTACCAAAACTTTTTGTAGGAGAACAATAAGACCAAACATCCTCAACTTCTCTACGAGGCCAAGTTATACAATATTCTCCAGGGAGGAAGTATGTTTTGGATATTGTGCACTTTATGGATAGATATACAGATTATGGTGTAATTTATAGTTTGCTCCTTTCTAGGTGGTGTACCACATATAAAATGGTCTGGTGTGGATGGTGATGACAATGTTCTGGTCATGGATTTATTGGGTCCTAGCTTGGAAGATCTCTTTGTCTATTGTGACCGGAAGCTTTCATTGAAGACTGTTTTAATGTTGGCTGACCAGATGGTAACACCAGTTTCCCTTCAACACTTTATAATGTTCATGCTACTGTGTTTCTGTTTGATAAGAGCTTTACGTCATGTCAAAGGCGTAGCTAAGGTATACCACTTTGACTTTAGCCCATGTTCCATGATAGGTGGAAGCTTGTTCCAGATTTTGATCAGGTGAAATGGGTCTTTGTTTAGGAACATGACCCGTCGGCCAATTAGTTGCTTTTTCTACATATTGAACTTTTCTCTCCCTTTGATATTCTTATCCATTGTGGCTCTCAGCAATTATGTTGACTTAATATTTTCAGGATACAGACTAATAGAGCTGCACCAAAGTTTTGTTTTGTTCTCTCTGATATTTTCGTCAGTGATTTTTCATGTCACATAGATATTGGAGAACTATTATATTTTAATATACACTTATTGGTAAATATTTAGGACCTTTGGAATGCATTGCGAGAGTGTTTTTACCAACATGGTCACTTTTTTTATAAAAAATTACTTGCTGTTTTCCTTATTAGCAGCTTGGCTGATCAGGTTCTTCTGCCTCTCCTTTTCTCAGATTACCAGAATCGAATATGTACATTCTAAGGGCTTTCTACACAGGGATATTAAACCTGACAACTTTCTGATGGGTCTTGGTCGGAAAGCAAATCAGGTGACTTTCTTTCGTTCTCTTTTAGTTTTTATCGGTTTATTAGTTAGTTTGCTTTTTTCTTTTCTTCTGATTGAATCCTATTGTCATTATGTAATTTTCAGGTTTATATTATTGATTTTGGTCTTGCTAAAAGATATCGTGATGCGACTACAAATCGCCATATTCCTTACAGGTATAAGTTTTTGAATATGCTAATCTGAACTTTTTTCATCATTTATCATTTAACTTTAAGCTTCCAAGTGTGTACTCATAAGTGTAATGTCTGATTCTAATTTTGTTTGGTTAAAACTTAGAAGAGAGAACATTGATCATTTCTTAGTTGCAGAGTTATGGATCTAATTTTATTATCTTTTCTTCTGTACAGAGAGAACAAAAATTTAACTGGAACAGCACGCTATGCCAGTTGTAATACTCATCTCGGAATTGGTGAGAGCAGATACTCTTTTCCTTGATTGTTTTTCTCTCCCCATCGTAAAACCCGTAAAGTATTTGGCAAGGAAAATAATTAACCTTTATTCCTGCCTGTGAAGAAGAGGGTTATTAAAATAAAATATGTCTTAACATTTCAATGTCCTCTTTATGTTATACAGAGCAAAGCCGGCGGGATGATTTAGAATCTCTTGGATATGTTCTCCTTTATTTCTTGAGAGGCAGGTGTGTGTTTTTTCAATTAGATTAAACCTTTTTATTCCTTGGTCCTTATACATGCACATATGTATCAAATATTCTTTTGACCAACATATTGGTTCTTCAATAGCCTCCCATGGCAGGGTCTAAAAGCTGCCACAAAGAAGCAAAAGTATGACAAAATATGTCAAAAGAAGTTATCAACTCCTATTGAGGCATGTGTACCTGAATAGCTTCCCTTGCCACTGCTCCTTCTGTCTCTTATTTTTTAAAACAATAGGTTCTTATTCTGACTCTTTTGTACTATTTCCTGGTGAAGGTTTTATGCAAGTCTCATCCTGTTGAGTTTGCTTCGTACTTCCATTACTGTCATTCATTGACATTTGATCAGCGACCTGATTATGGATTCTTAAAGCGCCTCTTTCGTGAACTTTTTACCCGTCAAGGTATGCCTAAAGTCAAGCTTCATCAACTCCTTGGACAATACCAGAGTTCTTTAATAAATACCCTCCTGAGTACATTGTAATCTATCTGCAGAAGTTCAACTGATGTACATCTATGTGTCACGCAGGATATGAATTTGATTACATATTTGATTGGACCATCCTAAAGTACCAACAGGCACAAACAAGTAAATCACAGCATCGGGTATCTTTTTTAGCTTGTCCTGTTTCCTGAATTCATTTTAACTATGATTAATCACTTCTCAACTTGATGGCATGCTATAATTTGAGCTTGTATTTTTCTTCTTGTTCCTTAAATAAACAAGCTTAATAGTACAACTTTTTAGTCAAGGCTTGCTTCATGAGCTGTTTTTAATCAAAATTTTGACTGTTCTGTGATTTTGCAGCAAGTTGGTGGTGAAAGTAGCCGAGCAATTCCAATGGATGTTGAAAAGCGTCAAGGTTGATAACTAAAACTCTTGGAATTTTCTATTTCTACGAATGAGGAGAACTATGTAGTACTTTAAAAAGTGAAAGATGTTATTTTTTGTGAGTTGTGAATATGGTTTACATCCATTCTACCTGCACAAAATGGTTTCCTTTAATCTGGGTTGAGTGCTTATAATCCAGCAGTAAAGTGTATGCAGACTTGCTTTATCAAAAAGTGTATGCAGACTTGCAGATAAATTAAGAGAAGACTTGAGATAGAAGTATGCTAGTAGAAAACATACTTCATTTGTTTTGGATGTCATGTTAATTTCTGTTGATGTAATTAGGTTAAATCAGCTGAACTGTTCCTTCTACAGTTTCTACAGGCAACAATGGACCTTATGTTGCTGAGGTAACTGATCGCATAAGGCCGAATAATCCTTCCAGTCCTGGAATTCGGATGCAATTTAAGTCACCAACAAACAGGAATTTAACTTCCGCCAATCTTGAGAGAAATGTGAGTGATACTTCTGCCAATCTTTTCATAGCCTTGTTTCAGATAAAGCATTTTTCGCATTAAGCATTGGCTATTTACCATGTCCCATTATTAGTCTTCTTCCTATTATCTCAGCCCAAGTAGGCTTCTCACTAATTTCCCTTTCATAATGTAGGTATTAAGTAGTGCTCATATGCCATCTTCTTCATTGGCTCCTGTTTTACCAAGAGCAAATGCCACAAAACCTGTTTTACCCACTGAAACAACACATGATGGTGATAATGGAGGCAGCAGCTGGATGTCCTCCTTGCGACGTATTTCTTCTGCAAAGTGATAAAAAGGTTCTCTTCTTTCTCTACTTCATGTTTCTATGGCTATGCTTTGGGGTCAGGTGGCACATTATTAGACATCACAATTATAATTGTGAATAAGAAGCATTTCTATTCACGATGACAAAGATCCTTTCTTCCCTTTTCAGGATAAGATGAAGATGAAGTTGGGGCAAGTGTGCCTTCAAATTGGGCAGCTCATACTTATTTTATGATTACAAGCTGGTTCGGATGACTATGGTGGCTGATCATGGCCTGCTGCAATTTCATGAGTTCAAGAGGGTGGTGTGAATTGAGCTGGACATGAAAGCAGATGGCGGCTGTTTGTCTTTCTATTGGAGCTCGGGTTAGATATTTTTCCTAAGATGACTATAAACAAATTGGTCCATCCTTGCATTAAGATCAGGATGGTTCCTGTCCGCCGAAAAAATGAAGCACTAGAGACATCTTTGTCTCCTAATGTAAAATAGATCATATGCGATTGTCAAAAATTGTGCAGTTCCTTTTGTGCATACAGTGGTGGTTATTTTCTTCACTTGCTTCTTTACTTGCAAAGTTGCATGTGTTGTAATCTTTATTGCTTAATTTTGTGGTGAGCCAATGGTTTGTTGCAAACATGTTGATAATGGAATTGGATCTAGTACAGCAATGAAATTTTTGATTAGTTCGGAAATGTGATAAACAAATGAAATCACTTTCTGTGTTCTCATCAGAAGGATTATGAAGTTTTGATGTACAGATTGATTTATGGACTTTTCTTTCTCCACCACTCATCCCACACTCTTACATTAAAGTCTTATCGCTCTTTTGAATACTGTTTCCATCTGGCCAATAGGTGAGCTTGCCACCAGGTAATGTTTTGTTGTTAGTTTTGATTTGGTAATTTCCTGTGAGTTCTCTGATTTGCTCGAGATGATTCCCCTATTAACAATAAGCAGTTTTGACCAACCTTAGATGTGCTTAGGCTGGCATATGTACTGTGACTAGCCTTCACACTTTCTTTTAAAACAAAAAGACTAGATTCCAAACTTTTCTGTTAACATATTGTCCGTTGGCTATTGATCAAGTTATTTGCAATCAGCTTCTCAATTATTGTCATCCTTTTGCAATTTGCAGGACCCGTGAGATGTGGTTTCTGTCGGTGTAATGGTTCCGTTGGATTCAATAAACTCCAGAAGAACAGGAACTAGTGATTGCGTTGTTTGGTTTGTTGATTGCGCGAGGGATCAAGTATGTAATGGACAAGTATTCACTGGTTCCTCGGTACCATTCTGCCTGAGCTTATATTCCTGGTCTCAAGTGTCTTTGCTTCTAGACTTGCTAGGTTCGCGATGAAATCATGCTGAAAAACTTTTTGCCTTTGCAACTGTGATCGAGTAATGAAGCTAGCCTCTGAATGATGTATGAACTGAATATCTAGTCCTATTGGACTTGTCAGGACTTGAGACTGGGAGTTTCAACACCCAAAGTTCGTGCTGATTTCATTTTCAGCGAGGCTATGGTGCACCATCATGGTGCTGGAAGAATATTTGGTTACACGTTTAAGTCCCAGGTTACATAAATAATCAGTAAGTGTCCGTCTAGCATTGAAATATTCCTCTCATTATTTGCATAACCAAAGAATATTTGGTTACACATCTAATTTATATATAATTGAATGTCAGTAGGGGCAAAAATAATTTTATTACGTATTTGAATAATTCATCTTCAGTTTATATTTCATATTATTACGTTTAGTTTTTCTTTTAATTGAAGTGAGTAAATCGTCTATAAATTCACCCTTTTCCTTTCTATAATGTGTTGCTGTCTAGAATTAGAGGGATAAATAACTACATGAAAAATTAATGTATAAACCTATTATAAGGAAATGAAAAAGGTAAAATAAAATAAAATAGAGTATATATCTAAATAAAATTGTTGAAGTATTTAACGAGCAATTATTCAAAAGCGAAATTTGATAATTGTATTCAGATTCTTCGAATTATTGAAAACAAGTTAAATGGGAAAATGAAAAGCAAAATCCAAAAGAAAAGGAACAATTCTTTTTTAGATAATTTAATTCAAGATAGGTGTTATGTCACTCGTTTAAGAGCAGACTACCAATAATTGTTCCTAGTACACAAAAGGGGTTGCTCGGATGGTGAGTCTATTGACTCAATAACGTAAAATATAATTTAAACTCAATGAGAAAATGTAAATAACTTGTATAAAAAAAAAGGTGAATTATTGTAATTTTTATTGGATTTATTATTTAAACCTTCTTTCATAAAAAAAAATTAAAAAAAAATAAAATGGCGCCAATAGGTAGTTATGTTAGTTAACGTATATATAAATCATTTTAAAGCCGCTATTAAAATACAATTTGGAGAAAGTATAGATATCAATGTTTTAAAAGGCAGGGGCGTGAGGCGAGGCGTGAGCCCCGAGACACAGCACGTAAGTCCCATAGATCTACGTAGTGTAATCTCATGTATATTCAATTTTATAGTTTTATTACTAATAAAATAAGCAAAAGTAAGTCTTTCAATGATTTTACAAATAATTTTTATAAATAACATATAATATATAGAAACTATATTATGATTTTTATTTGAGATAAGTATTAATAATCAATAATGAAGAAAAAAAGTATTATAATTACTATTTGAGAAATATCATTACACCAATAATAAAAAATATGATTTAAAACAAAAAAGGTTCAAAAAAATAAATTAAAAACTCTTGGGGTACGTTTTTACTTCCAGGACTTACGTTTTAATGTTCGGGGCTTACGTCTCAAATTTTAGAACTTACACCTTATGGATCTACATCTTCAATTTACGCCTCAGAGCGTTTTTGGTACGCCCCGCCCCGAGACTCGCCCCAAAAATATTTTTGAAAACATATATATATATATATATATATATATATATAAAATTCAAATTACCATATAGTTTTTTTTCTTCACAGTCATCAAAACTACTTTCTGAGATTTTTCAGAGCTTCAAGAAAAAGTCGAATCATGGCGAAAACACCAGAGAAGGAGGAGGAAAGAAAGCGAAATTCTCCATTGATGAACCTCCCTGTTCTTGAAGAAGAAACAGAGGGCAAAAAAATGGAATCAGAAATTCCAGAAAGAGCTTTTTTGTCTGACTTTCCGAAGAAATCAAGAACCCCGCGAATCAAAAAGGCAGGAAGTTCTACTAAATTGGCAAAACCAGAATCTGGGCATGAAGAAAATCACAGTGCTTCATTGGAAAAACTCATCATTAATCTTGATGACGACAACGACGAAGAAGAAGAAGAGTTGGAGACCCAAATTGATAAGAAAATTGATTCATCACACTGGAGAAGTAGCTTTAATATGAAAAATCAGAGTGATTCAGTGAAAAAAAACACTATTCTTGATGACGACAACGAAGAAGAAGAAGAAAAAGAGTTGGAGACCCAAATTGCAGAAAAATACTTGGGTTTGAAAAATAAGAGTGCTTTAGGGAAAATGAACACCATTCTTGATGAAGAAGAAGAGTTGGAGAAAATGGGATCAAAAAGAAGAAATCTTGATGTTGAATCAACAACCCCACAGACCCAAATCGTACAAAATTCAAAAATTGGCTACAGCATTGATGGAAAAAAGTTACCAAAACCAGAATTTGGTTACAGCATTGATGGAGAAAAGTTATCAGAACGCCCCCAAATTGAGGAAATACTCGATATTATTGGAGATTGCAGTAAGCCTTTTGAGAAAAAGCTGTTAAAATATGAAGTTGACAGGATTTCATTTCACAGAAATGATGTGAAAAATGGAATTCTTCCGTATCTGAACGAAGATGAAACTGTCAAGCTTCAAAAGGAGGGGATTCTAGTGAGCACTTACGATGAATTTGGGAATCGTTATGAGATGAAATTCGAGTCGTATAATAATAGTTTCTACAGGCTTTGCAATGGATGGAAAAGGTTGTATAAATATCATGGGCTGAAGGAAGACGAACATTGTTACGTTGATGTTTGGATGTTTCGACATAAAGAAAATGATGGAATATGTTTTGCTGTGATTCTGAAGAGGTAAAAGTTCTTTTGATTAGTAGTTAATCATTGTCATTAGAGTTAATCTTGATGAATTAGAGTCTTGTAGTCTTTTGCAGTAAAAGTTCTTTTGATTAGTAGTTAATCATTGCCATTAGTGTTAATCTTGAGGAATTGGAGTCTTGTTAATGTCTTTTGCAGTAAAAGTTCAGTTCTTTTTTTAGTATTGTATGAATGTAAAAAGCAGAAGTATATTGGAGCAGTAGCTTTTACATGAATGGCTTTAATATTTGATGTCTCGATATCTTTGTGAATGAGTTCAAGAATGAACGTTGATATTTGATTGCAATGAACGTTGGGCAGCAACTTTGAGAAACACAATATTTGATGTGTCTTGATATCTTTGTGAATATGATATTCAAAATATCCAAGAAGTTTATGTAATTTCGAGATGCGAGGTTGAATTAGAGACTTAATGATTTGTGTTAGTATATTTTTTTTTATTAATCTTTGATTAGTTGTTAATCACTTTCATTAGTGTTAATCTTTAGGAATTTTAAGATGAGTTTGTTCCATAGTCGAGATAAAATGGCGGGATAACTCATTTCGAAGTTAGTAATCCCAGGATTGTAGTGTACCAAACGAGAACTAACAATATAACATGCATCATACAATCTTGGTGTTATTGCTTATCAATCAACATGACCTTATATGCCTAGGTGTCCAACTAATTACTAATACTTTTACGAGTTGTTTGATTGAGAACAAGTTATCTCAAAATATATAATAATGACATGATTATAATAATTGATTAAATAATGATGATTATACTCTTACTAGTAAATATTTGATTTAATACGGTATTTAAGAGAAAAATGAAGACTTTTGAAATTTGTGGTCCAAAACAATTTTTAGATATTTGTATGGTTGCATTAAGTGTAAAGAAAAATTTTTAAAGTTAAATTATTTCTAATTATAAGGTGGCATTCTTTTTGGGACGGACTAAAAAAAATGTGTCACATAAACCGCAACGGAGGGAGTATTAGTTATACATATATTCCTTCCTCGTATATAAAAGGGGTTGCTTGAATAGTTAACAGTCTCCACCTCCAACTCTGAGTACTTGCAACTTCGAGTCACCAAGAAAAAAATAAAATCTCATATCTTATTTTAAATTTCAAAAATTCTACATATATTTTAAGAGTATTCTTTGTTTGAAGATATCGACCCTATAACATAAAATGTAAAATTACTTGATTTATAAAAATGAAAGGTGAATTATTGTAGTAATTCTTATTGGATTTATTATCTAACTCAAATTGGTTCTTTCACAAAATTGAATAAAAATGGCGCCAATAGGTAGTTAGGTTAGTTAACCATTTTACAACCGCAATTAAAATAATTTGGATATATATATTCTCCAAGAAACTTGACATATTTCCTTATAATTGAAATTGTTGTTCATCTTGTACTTTTAAGATACTTGGAACAAAAAAAGTTGATAAGAAACAACAAAGTTTAAAGAGCATTTTCAAAACTAGAAAATTAAAACCAGTAGAGAAAATAGAATCAGAAACAGATTAGAAACAATATACAAAATATTTTTCTCAAAGAAGAAAATCGAGCCCACTGAATGCACAGTGTCCCTTTAAGGAAATTATTCCCCTCAAATATCCGAGGTTAATGGAATATATCTTCCCAGAATAGAATGATTACCTAAAACACGGTGTCAGCAAACCACTCAACGGCAGTAAAGTACACTTAGAATACTAGATTTAGTAGTAGTAGAAGAAGTCAAGAAAATTCATTCTCTTAAAATGAGAGGAAATCCCTCTATTTATAGACAACAAACGTAGTGTGAATAGATGCTTATTGTGTCTTATTGAAAAGGTCACAACCCCTTGAAAAAGGTCACAATCTTTCGGAATGGTCACTAATAAACTTTAGCTTCATTCATTGTGATACCAGCATGCTTGTTCTGTTCAAGAAATTGTATCATCTATGCTATTGGGAGTGGTCATTTTTGTCTTACCTTTAAGCTTTATTTTGACAAGTTCCTCTGAGTTACCTCAGGCCTTTCCTGTCTAGATTTGATGTGCCTGGTTTAGAGGGCATGGTGATCAATTTGCAGTCAGTTCAGTCAGTCTTGGCAAAACTTGAGAGTTTAGAGGAAGATGCAACATATGTTTGCAGCCATCCATTTGTGCTTCCCGCAACAAATTTGTAGTGGAGACACGGGATCCCCTTGCCTTAGTCCTCTTTTCCCCGCAAAATAACCTTGACAGTGAAATAGGGGGAAGTCATTACAGGAAATCCATATCCTACCAGTAAGAAATCCCAATCAACCATGTCATAAGCTTTCCTCAAATCAATCTTCATCAAACATCTAATTTCTATTATAATAATAATGTGTTAGCAGGTCCATTATGGACAAGAGAACTTCCTTGTACAAATGCAGCCTTGTTCTCTCCTTCAGTCTAACACATATCATCTTAGAAATAGTCTTATACAAGACACATTACAACAAGAGATTGGTCTAAATTGAGCTGCATATTTTTAGGGATCAAAACAAACGGTGGGTGTGCATAGCAAACCACTGAATCCTTAATCTCAGAACTAATGTCTTCCACTTCTATCTCCACAATAGTAGAGGTATCATAACAAGTCGTAGCTTGAATCCTGCATTTCATATCTTTGAGATGTCGAAATCATCCCAACATATTCTGGCATTGCTTAGAGTAAGCATACCTTTTCCAAATATTCCACCAGGAGTTTTTACTTGAACATATTGACCCGATAAAATAAAATGTAATTTAAAATCGATGGGAAAATGAAAATTACTTATATATAAAGTTAAGCTCAATTATTGTAATTCTTATTGGATTTATTATCCAACTCTAATTACTTCTTTCACAAAAAGTTAAAAAATGGCGCCAAATAGGTAGTTATGTTAGTTAACGCATATATAAACCATTTCTAGCTTCAAGAAAAGGTGTAATTTCCCTATAATTGAAATTACTATATAATTTGACTTTTTTTTTTTAACCTAAATAAAGAAGGGCTATATTTATGGTAGATTAATTATTTTATTATATATTTGAAACTAGCCCAATTGTATTTAGAGGCTTAGAATTTTTTAAAACAAGTTAAATAGGAAAACAACAAATAGAATCCAAAAGATTGGAAGAAATTTTTAGATAATTTATTCTAAGATAGGTGTTACGTCACTCTTTTAAGATCAGAATTTTATAGATACAACTTATCCTTCCTGATACATAAAAGGTGTATCTCAAATAGATAACTGTCTCCACCTCCAACTCTGAGTCCTTGTGACTTCGACTAACCAAGAAAACAAAAAATAAAATTAAAAAATCTCATATCTTATTTTAAATTTTAAAAATTCTACATATATTTTAACATAAAATGTAAAATTACTTAATTTATAAAAATGAAAGGTGAATTATTGTAGTAATTCTTATTGGATTTATCATCTAACTCTAATTGCTTCTTTCACAAAAAATAAATAAAAAAATGGCGCCAATAGGTAGTTAAGTTAGTTAACCATTTTAAATTAAAATACAAATAGGAGAAAGTTTACATATATATGATATATTGTCCAAGAAACTTCACATATTTCCTTATAATTGAAATTACTATATCGTTTTTCAGAGCCATTGAAACTACTTTCTGAGATTCAAGAAAAGGTGTAAATATGGCAAAAACACCAGAGAAGGAGGAGGAAATAAAGCAAAATGCTAAAAGGAAACATTCTCTTGTTGAAGAAGAAGAAACAGAGGCCAAGAAAATGAGTTCAGAAACAGCTTTTCAGCTGAAATCAACCCCACGAACCAAATCACAAGAAAGTTCTGATGAGGAAGAAGAAGAAGAGGACAAGAAAATGAAATCAGAAACAATTTTTCCTGGTGAATATTCAGAAATCAAATTCCCAGAAACTTCTGAATTGGTAAATGCACGATTTGGGGATGAAAAAAATCAGAGTGCTTCATTGGAAAAAATTGATGAAGAAGAAGAAGAAGAAACAGATGATGATGAAGAAGAAGATGACGAGGAAGAAGAAGAAGAAGACGATGAAGAACATGAAGAAGAAGATACAGATGAAGACGAAGTTTCATTTCCAGGATTTGGATACAGCTTTGATGGAGAAATTTTATCAAGATTCCCCGACATAAAGAAAATACTCGGATGTATTGAAGATTGCACTATGCCATTTGAGCAAAAGATAGTGAAAACAGACGTTGACAAGCTTATACTAAGCAGAGATGAGGTGAAAAGTAGAATTTTGCCATTGCTGAAAAAGAGTGATCTTAAAGGTGGGGGAGGAATCGTAGTGAAGGTTTATGATGAATTCAGTAAAAGTTATAAGATGATGTTCAAGTTCATTGATGATCAGTTCATGCTTTGCACTAGATGGAAATATTTGTTCGAAGATCATAAACTGAATGAAAATGGAGATTGTTATGCTGCAGTTTGGATGTTTCGACACAAAAGATCACGTAAACGATGTTTTGCTGTGATTATGAAGACGTCAAAAACTCAAGATTAGAAGATTCTCATTAGTGTTTCTGCACTTCTTTTAGAGTGTTTCTGCAGATTTCTTTTGATTAGTTGTTAATCACTCTCATTACTGTTTCTGCAGTTTTTTTAGAGTGTTAATGATGCATGTCTGCAGATTTCTTTTGATTAGTTGTTAATCACTTTCATTAATGTTTCTGCAGTTTTTTTAGAGTGTTATGTTTCTGCAGATTTCTTTTGATTAGTTGTTAATCACTTTCGTTGGTGTTAATCTTGAGAGATTAGAGTATTGTTAATGTCTAGTGCAGTAAAAGTTTACTTCTTTTGATGAATGTAAAAGGCAGAAATATATTGAACTTTTCTTGTAAGAAGTTGATGTTTGATTGTAATGAAACACAATATTTGATCTCTTTGTGAATGCGATATCCCACAAGTTAATGTGATTACGAGATGATCACGGCAATACTTAATGTCTTTGGGAATACTCAAAAATTTATGGCATATCTGAGATTGAATTAGTGTCTTAATGAAGTGTATCTGCAGTTTTTTTTTAATTATTAATCCTGATAAGTTGTTAATCACTTTCATTAGTGTTAATCTTGAGGAAATAGAGTCTTGTGCAGTAAAAGTTTAGTTCTTGATGTCTAAGTTTGTTTCTTTCTCTCCAAATACTAGCAATGGTCATAGGAAAAACACAACTAGCACTGGATTTTCTTTTTGCTTGTTGACAGGCTCACTGCAATTGCTGGCTCTATGATTTCCCATCCCTACACATAATCTGCTCCAAAGTTTCCGTATGACTCTACATTCAAAAAATAAGTGGCCAAAAGTTTCCTCATGAAGGCGCAGTCCAGAGGAACTTGGATGCCAAACTTCAATAGTCTATCCACTATGGCAAGTCTTTGTTGTGCAGCTAGCAAAAGCGTGAACTGGAATCATAAGCAATAAAGTGATATTCATATAACCAGTAGGAAAGCAAAATCCTATTTATGTCCAAATAGGATTTGTATAGCCACGTTTATAAATACACTTGCTACCCTTAGTTATTTGGACAAAATAATGGATTCAGTATTTGTATCAAACCCTAGAAACAATTATTCCGTTCCCCATGATATCATAATTGATATACTCACACAACTTCCTGTGAAATCACTTATAAGGTTCAAAGGCGTTTGCAAATCATGGTATTCGTTAATTAAAGATGACAACTTCATCAAGCAACACTATGACACTCACCAAAATTGTCAAAAGTACTTTGTGGTTTGTAGAAGACACAAGATTTCCACCCACTACACCATGGAACTTGATTCTAATAGTATAGCCTCTCTTGTCGCGCCTCCGGTTCCAATTGATCAATCACGAAAGGCATTCAATGAAATACAATATTGCTCATGTAATGGAATACTTCTTATAACATACGCTAATGACATAATCATTATGTGGAATCCGGCCACTAGAGAATCAAGAAGAATCCCTAAGTGTAAGAGTGGTGGTCTTTATAATTTTTGCTACTTTCCGCGTATTGAAAGCTACAAAATATTTAGACTAGGACCTGTAGTCTTTAATGGTGACAAGGATGAAATGGATATTGATATATTTTCAACGAAAAGTAACAAGTGGAAAACGGTTGGCATATTTCCTCCAGATTATTATTTCGAAGGTACTAGCATTGTTATGTCAGATGGGATTGTTTATATGATGGCGGAGAGGAAAGAAAATGAAAATTGTACAATATTACGTTTTTGTTTGGACAAGGAAGAATTTCAAGAGGAATTGTTGTTTCCGAACACGATACCAAGTGAAATACATGTTGTAGGAGAAAAACTATGTTTGATTGGGTCATTGATGAGTAATCATAAGATTCATGAGTTTTGGTTGTATATGATGAAAACAAATTCATGGAATAAGATATTGGCAATTCGATTACCTTCGAAATCTTGTTTGAAACCTTTGAGTTTTATAAAGGATGGAGGGATCATGTTTAAAAATTACATGAGTAAATATGTGTTCAAGGCTTACAATTCAACAACACACAAATTGGAAAAAGTTAATGTAGCTGGACTTGAAGGACATAACTTCAAAGAGGTTGTAACCTACGTCGAAACTTTATCCTCTCCGTTTCTTTAATTGATATATACAAACTTGTGTTCTATTCGGGTACGTGAAGAAAAGATGTTGCTGTTTTTATAGAGTGTTTCTGCAGTTTTCTTTAGAGTGTTAATGATGTGTTTAGTATTTGTACTTTTCTTGTAAGCAGTTGATGTTTGATTGCAATGAATGTCGGGCAGCAACTTTGAGAAACATGATATTTGATGTCCTGATCTCTTTGTGAATATGATATTCAGAATATCTGACAAGCTTTTAACTGTGTGTTTTTCAATGTTTGTACCTCAGAGTTGTTTAGTTAGTCCACCATTCATGATCAATGAGTACCTCTTCAGTAGAGCTGATTCTGGGTGCTCTTCAGTTGCTCAACCATCAACTGGCTCCTTTACTAATAAACTTTAGCTTCATTCATTGTGATACCAGCATGCTTGTTCTGTTCAAGAAATTGTATCATCTATGCTATTGGGAGTGGGCATTTTTGTCTTACCTTTAAGCTTTATTTTGACAAGTTCCTCTGAGTTACCTCAGGCCTTGCTTGCCAGTCCTGTCTAGATTTGATGTGCCTGGTTTAGAGGGCATGGTGATCAATTTGCAGTCAGTCAGTCTTGGCAAAACATATATAGTTGAGCTTCTGTTCTCCCGTGGGTGCATGTCATTGATCAGTCTGGGAAATTAAGGCTGGGATGTGTCCATTTCAATAAGCATTCTGGCATACGATACTCTCTCCCCCTGGGTAGTGACTAGTGAGCTTGTCAGTGCATATTAAACTGTCTCTCTAGGAGGAGAATTGCCATTCCATTGTGTCTTTATCTATCTGCACACAATCGATTATAAGAATTTGCTCATAAGAGTTCGTTCACTGCCTATAATTTTGCTAACTCCCTCTAGAAAGCCAAGTCAACTATTCCAATTGTTAATTTTCAAACACTATTATTCCCTTTTACTGTGAGTCATGTTCTATAGGTTCAATTTCTTTGTGTGGTGCAATATAATTCAATTTCCTCAAGAGTACGTCATTTCAATGATTTGTTCAAATAGATAGAAACATAACGCCAATCTGTATAAAAAACACACATAGCGACCATAGTATAGGAGCAAGGCACCTAAGTAAGAATTCCAACCAAGTTAGCTCAGACGTAGCAGTGGCCAACGCACGATACTCTTCCTCAGCACTAGAACGTGCATCTGCTCGCTGCCTTTTGGAAGCCCAAGCTATTAAATGAGAAGGTGCAAATTGCATGCATTTTACAGGAAACCCAGTGGGACTCTCTCGGACTATGCGTGAATTGTGAAACGTTGTTCACCGCAAATACTACATCAAGACGAGTGAATGTTAAATATTGTAGGGCTCCTACAGTGCTGCAATACAAGGTTTCATCATGGAGAGTTTAGAGGAAGATGCAACATATGATTGCAGCCATCCATTTGTGCTTATAATATCTCCAAGTAAGTCTTTATAATATCTAACAAACAAATTTGCAATTATATCAGGATCCATGTTTCCTTTGCCGTTTGTGGTAGAAATAATTCAGCTAAGAATGAGCTCTCGTGTCTAAACTTCATATATCTTTCCCTTTCAGTTTGCTGCAATACACGGATTTATTTGTAGCAGTTTTTGTGTTTGGATCAAAGCCTCTCTATCATCATTTGTCTCAGCTTCAATGTTTGTTAAAGCTTGGCTATTCAACTCCTTCTTTAGCAACTTCAGCTTCTTGCATTGACTATTTGAAACAATAAGCAACTTTCAGAAATTTAGGGTGATGTGCCCAAGGAGAAAGGGTCTGTTGATAGCTAAAATGAACAGTGATCACTTATTCCCTCAGCTAGAAACATAGCATTGCAATTTGGCATAGTACCAGGTATTGTTGATGAAGATCCCGTCTATTTTAGAAAAAAACTCTCTGATTTTCCCCTTTATACTTCCAACTGTACTTGTTCAATCAAATCCTCTATCTTAGCCCATCTAACCTTGGGAATTTAACCCAAATATGTCTTCAAGGCTTACATTTCAACAACACACAAATTGGAGAAAGTTACTGTACGTAGCTGGACTTGAAGGACATAACTTCACCTACGCCAAAACTCTGTTTCTTTAATTGATATATACAAACTTGTGTTCTGTTCGGGTACGTCAAGAGAAGATGCTGTTTTTTTAGAGTGCGTTTCTGCAGATTTCTTTTGATTAGTTGTTAATCATTTTCATTAGTATTAATCTCGAGGAATTATAATCTTGTTAATGTCTTGTAAGTAAAACTTGACTTCTTTTTTAGTATGGAACAGAGACTACGTAGTAGCTTTTACATGAATGGCTTTAATATTTGATGCCTTTTGTGAATACTCAAGAACGAATGTCCATTTTGATGTCTTCATCTCTTTGTGAATATGATATATTCAGAATATCCTACAAGTTTATGCCACTTCGATTTGTGAATACTCAAAAATTTATGGCATAACTCGAGGTTAGAATTAGAGTCTTACTAATGTGTTTCTGCATAGTTTTTATTAATCGTTAATCACTTTCATATAACAAGTAGGAAAGCTAATTGGATCTTTTTAGCAGTTAAATTTAATTGTCACACTAAAAATAAAAATCTGCATAAGCTATTCATATAACAAGTAGGAAAGCAAAACCGTATTTATGTCCAAATAGGATTTGTACGTTTTTTTTTTATAAATAGACACACTTATTTGGACAAAATAATTAAGACGTACCATGGATTCATTATTTGTATCAAAACCTAAGTACCCTCGAAGCAGTTATAATATTCCACATGATATCATAATTGATATACTCACACAACTTCCTGTAAAATCACTTATAAGGTTCAAAAGCGTTTGCAAATCATGGTATTCGTTAATTAAAGATGCCAAATTCATCAAGCAGCACTATGATACTCACAAAAATTACTGTCAAAAAAACTACTTTGTGGTTTGTAGAAGACAAAAGATGAAGAACCAATTCGATTACTATCACTACACCATGGAACTTGATTCTACTAGTATAGCCTCTCCTGTCGAGTCTCCGGTTCCAATTGATCAATCACCAATAGCATTCCGTAATATACAATGTTTCTCATGTGATGGTATACTTCTTATAGCATATGCTAATGACATAATCATTATGTGGAATCCGGCCACTAGAGAATCAAGAACAATCCCTTCGAGTAAGACTGGTGGTCTTTATAATTATTGCTACTTTCCGAGAATTGAAGGCTACAAAATATTTAGACTAGGACCTGGTGTTATAAATAGTGACAGCAATGACATGGATATTGATATATTTTCAACGAAAAGTAACACATGGAAAACGGTTGGCATATTTCCTCCAAATTATTATTTCGAAGATAGTAGAGTTTATATGTCAGATGGGATTGTTTATATGATGGCGGAGAGGAAAGAAAATGAAAATTGTATAATATTACGTTTTTGTTTGGAGAGGGAAGAATTTCAAGAGGAATTGTTGATTCCAAACACTATATCACCAAGGGGAATAGATGTTGTAGGGGAAAACCTTTGTTTGATTGGGTCATTGGAAGATAATGATAAGATTCGCGTATATAGTTTGTATATGAAGAAAACAAATTCATGGAATGAGATATTGGCAATTCAATTACCTTTCAAAATTTGTTTGAAACCTTTGAGTTTTATAAAGGATGGAGGCATCATGTTTCAAAACTATATGAGTAAATATGTGTTCAAGGCTTACAATTCAACAACACACAAATTGGAAAAAGTTAATGTAGCTGGAATTGAAGGACTTCACTTCATTCAGGTTGTAACCTACGTCGAAACTTTATCCTCTCCGTTTCTTTAATTGATGCATACTTGGTTCGGGTACGTGAACAGAAGATGTTGTTTTTTTAGTATTTGTACTTTTCTTGTAACCAGTTGATGTTTGATTGCAATGAAAGTTATTGAGAAACGCAATATGTGATGTCTTCATCTCTTTGTGAATACGATATTCAGAATATCCCTCAAGTTTATGTTATTACAAATTTGACCATTTGTACTTCTATTGTAAAATTTGGTGTTTAAGTTGTTATAACTTGTAAGAGCCAGAGAATGATAGAGTTCCATTTGGGGAAAACTAATTACGGAATTAATCTTAAGATGAGTTTATCCCACAGTCTAGATAAAATCGCGGAATAACTTATTTCAAAGTTAGTAATTCCAGGATTGCAGTGTTATTTTTGTCACGCGTTGAGGAATTCTCGAATAACTACTCCCAACTGAACGAACACTAACAATATAACATGCATGATCCAATCTTAGGTATTCAACTAATAATACCATTAGGAGATCATTTGATTGAGAATAAATTATTTCGAGATATAATAATAACATAATTATAATCTATGAATTAAATAATGATGATTATACTCTTACCAGTAATATTTGATTTATTGGATTACAAATAGAATATACAGGGGTATAGTACATAGCTTACTCCAATTCCTTGAGAAGATCTAAGCTATAAGTTGTAACTTAGTAACTTGCAAGAGCCATAAACTTGCAAAATTGTGTGTATAAGATGTGAAGACGTAGAATTAGGCGATTTTCTAAGTTTTTCGTGCATGTTAGTCAATGAATTTCTTGGTGATATGGTGTTCATGTACTTTTTTTCTATTACTTTTACCGGACCCTCTGTATTGACCTAGGAGAACTGCACGTATAGTCTCAGCATGATTCATGCCATTTTTTTTAGCATTTAAGGGCCACACAACATAAATTAAATGATTTTCTCAGTTTATCGTGTGTGTTGGTCAATAAATTTTTTGGTGATATGATTTTTAGGCACATTTTTTTCCGAAATCTTTACAAGATCCTCTATAATGACCTGGGGAATAGTACATATAGTCTCACCATGAACCACGCCATCTTTTTAATATTTAGGGGCCATACAACAACAAAGGTGATTTTCTCATAGCGCAAAGCACGGGTAATTTAGCTAGTTACTTATATAGAAAAGTCAAGGTATTTATTATTTAACTCTAATTGCTTCTTTCCCAAAAAAAAATTAA